TCAGTAGTGAAAATTCATCCTGCAATGAATCACACGATAAGGACATAATGCGAAATCTCCTTCGACGCGAGAAAGAAAGAGTTCGTCAACTTCCATTCGAATCTCGTGTACCGTTGAGGAGAATATACGAAAACGATAAAGCTAAAGAGTGATAGAAACAGCCAACTCTGTCTTAAATGAGGTGGTACAGACCCCAGGTAGAGATCTAGACATTACTGAAATCAATCGCATTGTGTATGTAACTGGATATCTGGTATCTCAGATAATTTTGGGGTCAGTCAAGATCACCGACGGCCGACAGCAAAACAGAGTAAATGTCCCGGTACCACCATGGACGAAAAGTATTAAGAAACGGATAGCTGACACGGCGTGAAATATCACTCTTAGCCGAGGCATCTTCTAAACCAACGCACACTTCTAAAGTTCAACGAAAATTATTCAATGTTGAACAGAAATACCAAATTGAAAATGACACAAGTAGGCTAATGGTAGCTGCGAAGCTAAAAGAGAAAGTCCAAGCATGGGCTCAAAGAATTAGACGTTACAAACGTAGTCAATCCAAGCCATATTAAATTATGCTTTTATTTCTTTACATCATTCAAGATGACTTTATTGCAGAGTACTAATATACAGCGGAAAGGAATCAGTAGAAACAAGAATATTCAGATCAACAGGGCCATCTTTCAAGAAGATTTGCTATCCCTTCTGCTGTTTTGCATTAGTTTGATCCCTCTATCTAGACAGTTGTCGCAAGCTGACTTGGTTTGATTACAAGCTTCATGGTCATGAAAGACCACTATCACATTTCTTTTACATGGATGATCTTAAAGTATTTGCTAAGAATGAAGCGATTATTTTCCAAATGCTGTCTGTCGTGGATTACTTTGGCAATGACATTTGCATGAAGTTTGGTCTTGACAAGTGTGCAAAAATCAATTTAAAGAGAGGCAAAGTGACAACACAGTTACTTCCACTGGTAGATCTGTACCACCCTCGAAGTTCTAAACGCATGCCTCAAATTGTACGAACACTCCCCTAAACCGATGACATCTGTTGAACTCTATACAATATAATATGACCAACAAATTCAAACGGATCGCACGATAGCAGCAAACAAATCGGATATTGATATCCGCGGTTTGGAGAAAAAATATTGACTACTTGTAGATGTTGCTATGCTTTGCGATGAAAACGTCGTAACCAAGAAGGCAAATTAACCCATAACAAATAACATTAACAATAAACTAGTAGATTATGATAGTGGTAAATAGCTTGCAATTAGAGTAAGTATTCCCTTAATCTTACAGTAGCAGTTTAACTAACTTACAATAACTTTAAAACATTAGGTGTACGATTAATGATAATAATTAAATTAATTACAATATCTGGACATATAATTACATTATTTCCTACATTACAAAACTGAACCTACATTACATTACAACATTACAATTCCTACCTTACATTACTGAATAGTATATTGCTTTATTGGACTGATATTGGGTATTTCTATCGATGCTGTTGATACAAGAATAGAACATATCAGTGATACAAAATTTCGTAATATAGTCACTTGTAATTTATATTGACTCTCCTAATTTCTTCGCCAACTTTTCTAATGGTTTCAGAATGAACACTTTTATACTCGCTTCTCATATCAGCTATATTTCTTCGTGTTTCTTTAATTTTTTGACTACAGTAACCGATGTCATATGCCTTTGTTTGGAGAATATTGTCCAGAGAACGAAAATATTTTATCAAACGTTCTCAACAAAGAACAAAACAAAAAGTCAGACAAAATTGACATATATCCACAGAACCAACAGAAGCCAATATATCACATTCAACCACATCTTGGTTATTCACCATAGTAATGAATACATTCTAAAGATCATTTCTGTGCACATACATAGGTCCAGTTGCATAAACGTTCGATATGGAATCCATAAGCTTATTCGTTCTATAAAATAGTCCGTAGCGGTTCTATAAAATAGTCCATAGTGTTCACACGTCGCTCTGTATAGATCCATGTAGTTGGGCAAACACCCGTCTTTGCAGAAAATTGTCAAGAAATTTTGCTTGTTTCGGTGACCGCGAGAAGAACGCAGCAGTATCACTCAAGTTACTAAAGAAAATTTTACATTCTCAGATGTTATTAACACTACGTGAAAGTACTCAATTCAAGCCATGTGCGTAGCAATGAATATAAAGTGCCTGAGGATGAATCTGTTTTATAAGGGTCTGGACGCTGTTCACATTTCCAGACATGGACGCAGCGCCGTCGTAAGACTGGGCAATTATATAAAGTAATAAATAAATATTACTTTGGCAGTAATAAGCTTTGGGCTTATTACTGCCAAAATCTGTCAAATACTCTCTTATAAGCTCTGCCGCTATCGCTTTAGTGTTTCGGTTCGCATCACGAAATCCGATGGACCTTTCTTTTGTTTCACCACCGTAAACATATCAGAACATAATAGAGAATTAAGCAGCGTTGAAATTATCTGTTGTTTCATCGATCAACACAGAGAGAACATTAGCATTCGCTATTTCAGATTTAATTTCTTGAAACAGTGAATGAGATATGGAATCTATGAGATCATTTTGATTCGATAACTCGCTGTAAAATTGTCGAAGTTTCCAAATGAGTCCTCAGGAGAGAATCATATTCTGACGTGTAGTTCAGTAGTTCCACATAACTGCCACTGCTATTAAGTGAAAATCTAGATTCGTCATGTCCCCTGAATACTAACCTGTCCCCTGAAAGCTATCCTGTTTACTTAGGGAACGTACAGCGTTTATGAATATTTTAAGAAGCTCACGATTTTGTGGTACTTTCTTATTGTGGAGATATTTCTGTTTGAAGTTGCTGGTCCATTGGCGTTTCAATGCGAGCATGCCTGAGCCATGCGACACCAAAAGATACAAAGCTCTGGATGTGCCCAATGTCAGTTCGTGTGCAGTTGCTGCTTTTGTGAAACTTCCCAATTTTTTCATGAAGTATTCTGTCCTTGACCAAAGTGCAAACAAGATCAACAAAACAAAGAGTTCAGTATTTCTTTACCAGCTAGCCCGTTATAATTTTTGTTGGCAACGCAAGTGAAATGTTTCGTGATTTTTTTTGTCATCTGTTGTAATCGTGCTGAGGCTGGTGTTGCCCTACCGTTTTCAATTCTCTGCTTCTTCTCGTGGACCTGCCTCGTTGAAATCGGTCTCCTCAAAATATCAGCAATTATACACTTACTGGAAGATATGGTACACAATTATTCCTGAATACTCGTTAGATTACAAAGCACGTATTACTACACTGCGTAGTTACTACGAATCCTCACGAAAAATTTCGAGGAAACCATAAGTCACAAACTGAACAGTGTATCACCTCCAATCACCTCTACGTCACGCACTGCTTATTTTTGATCCGTGACATACGGTTCATTGTGATTATTAAAATGCCATTCTTGCTTGCTTCAGCAATGCTGAGGTTGAAAGCACGCCACTGATAAGTTACACATTTTTATTATAATTTAATCATTATTGTTAAACAATGATATAACATAATCACTTTAATAACATTATCACTTTGTAACTGCGTTGTAGAGAGCTATTTCATAATGTTGTTCTCAGCAACCTAAGCTCTTATTTTAATCTTTAGAAGTCTCTTTCCCTTCTTATACTCAAAAGCATTCCAATATTTTTTTTAATATCTGCAATTTGCTCAGGTGAATGAGTAAAAGAAAAGTTATGAAGATCACTTCTCAACAAATATAAAACAATGTCTCTTCTTCCCTGCATCAGCCCTTTGATTGTTACTTCCTCTTTAAAATCCCTTCTTAATACGATGTTGAATTAAATTGATCTTCCTGTTTGTTAGTTTCCTCATTCTTCCCTCTTCCCCAATTCTTTAAACCTCTTCACTCCTATTTCTTCCCTACCAGCACATATTCTTATCATGTAACAATTTCCGATATTTCTCTGTCTTTCTCTTTTTTTCATACCCATTTATTACTATCTATTATATAAAAAAATATGTGTGTATGTATGCAACTTCTTTTCCAAGAGCTACAGAAAATCAACAATCATTTATTTATTGTATTTAGTAAAAATTGTATATGACGTACGGGGAGAAGATTATTTGCGCACATTTTCTTGAGGTCCAGAATCCCTTCTCGTCATTTTAACTATAAGTAGTTGAAAGATGAGTAAAAGTTTAACAAAATATAAAATAAATTTAAAAAATCGCAAGATTAGCAATATTTGAAAAATGGCATCATGATTTCTGCCAAGGAAATGGGTATGTATTTCACTGTTCAGATTACCACTCTGATACTTTGTAATTCAACAATGCCACTACATATCCACAGATTTTGTAATTACTCCAGAGAGTGCACTTCTTTTAGTAGTATTGTGCATAGCTTAGTGGACATGTATGTATTGATCCACAAATACTTTTCAATCACTGGAGTGATTGAACCAAAATTTTGCACAAATAATTTTCAGCAATCAAGGATAAAATAAGGGACTAGGGGTGCAGTTATAACACTTTCCCCCAAAACGTGTTTATTAATGCAAATCACAATGCACCTAATGGCATTGTTGCATAGCAAACTGCAGTGGGAAGGCTCTATGGGGCAAGTAGAACAGATGAGGCGGCAAAATTCAATATAGAAGGTGACAAGTACAAGTTGTTATGTTTCTTTTCTACTCTGGTCCAGAATATTCCACTATTAACAATACCCATATCACCAGTTTACACTGTAATAAAGGCTCATTCCATAATTATATATTATTAACATTAATTAATTTATTATTATTATTATTATTATTATTATTATTATTATTATTATTATTATTAATTGTCTTTTCAAACACTTCATATTAAAACAATAGATTCAAAACATTTCAATTATCTACACTCAAGAATGCACGAGGAATAAGGAAAGGTGAATCAAGAAAAAATTATGTAGGATAGGAGACGGTTTGTTAACAAAGAGTCACTCCAATAGTTTTATATGGTAAAACTTTTATTTCACATAATGTAAAAGACTCCATTTAAACTCCATATTTGAGTATAACATGTATAATTATAGAATACATTCTACATTTTACAGAAACAGGCAGGTCACGTAATTTGCAATTATATTTACAATGCACAGTTGTGTATGAAAATATCACCAAACATTTAAATCCTACATTTGTACAGGTAGTTTTTTTTTCAATATATTTTTACATAGTAACACATTAAGTATTTTTTCCATCACTTATTTCTGCAAAAATGGTTTGGTTTGGATTCAAATTCATATTACTTCTGTTGAATGATGTTCTACATCTTGGCTTGAGCACTTAGTGAGAGTACCAAGATAGGCATCTGCTTAATTTCACTTTTGCTTTATTCTACAAAATTCAACAATTAGATTTTTCTGAGCAATTATATTACAAAGTGATTTTAACATAAAGCCAAAATCAGAAGAGTCTTCTTCCTGATTTATACAGTTGAAGCAAATGCTTTACATCATTACAGAACAAGCATAATATTTACAATTATGAACATACTTGAGAACCAAACCAACCATTGACAAGTTGGAAAAGAAGCTAGCACACGCTCTTTCCCCTTCATCCTCTCCTTTTCTTCCTTGTGAGGCACTGCACGATGTGTTGTAACAGTATATTACTGTGCGGAGTGTATGTGTGTAGAGTGGAGATGTAAAAAATTACAATATTTTTATGATTTAACAGCACAGTGATAATAAGGGATGAATTTTTACTACTTTGTAAGATTAAAAGTAAATAATTTTCTTTTCTCAATATTATAAAGGCATCACAATTTTGATGGACGTAAATTTTGTTTCGCGATACAATTTTATGATATATACGAAACTGCTGTTGTTAACTTTATTGTAAGGTCACTGTCGAAAAACTAGAATAAAGAATTTCCTAATTGTGTAAATCTCTGAAAACTATCAGAATTACAACAGATGGCTAATTACTGCCTCTGATCTCCTAATTTGTTTACTCTATTATCTTGACAATCAGTCGGCCTGCACCAGTAACTGTGCCCACTACTAGCGCAGACGCTCACATGGACGTGTGTTTGTTGAAAGCACCGAGTTACCTCTTACTCTCTCACTACTGCAGCAGCCGAACACTGTCCTGCTGCCTCTTTTCCCCCGTTTTCTTACATCACAGAAAGTTACAATATTCTTTTAAATACAATTTTTGTACAAAGTTGTTTGTTTTAAGTTGAGTTTTGCTTCATAAAATGCAGTAAAATATCATAGATCATAGAAAATAATAATTTAAAATTGAAGACAATTCTTGTAACAATCCATTCATTACAAGCTTGGATATTTAATCAGCTTAAGACATCGTTCTTAACGGCCATTAACATGCTGCTTGTGTATTACATTAAAACTCAATTCCTCCGTTGTATGCAAAATTATGATACAAAGTCATTGTGATCTGATAATGAAAGCAAGATGAGCAAGTGTTTAACAAACTAAAATGTACTTTTTGCAAAATGTTTTGCATGTCCAGAAAGCTTGATAACACAATAAATAGATGTTTTAATAAATTGTGTGCATGCTGTTTCAATATTAAAGTACTTTATATACAAGTCTACGCAGAAACACAGAAAAGGCCAAATTTTAATTTTAAAGATACAATTTGAAAACATTTCTCAACACTGATTACAACAAGAACACCGTTATTGAAGAACCATGAAATTCATAATTGGAAAACATTAAATTTATATTCAACATTGGAATACACTACCACTAAGAGCAGAATTAAATAAATTATATTAATATCAGTTGAGAAAGTACATTTGATTAGTTTTTGTACCATACAAGAAACACATAATGCATACAACCTGGTACAGATATAGTTTTCAATACAATGCAGACAGTTTTTGAACAGGGACTTGAACAGGAAAATGGCTATGCAAATATACTCTGCATTGCTAGAAACACTTAAGCAATTTATTACTGGACCAGCAGACTTGAAAGTATTGAAAACTCTCCTTTAAGTACGCCTTTAAAAAACGGCCATTCTTTCCAAAAGCTTTCAAAGGTACTTAATCACACAGGAATACCTAACAGCCATGTCTGACACAGTTTCTATTTACAGATTATGTGGATATTACACCAATAGACAGCTTTGCTGATGAATGTGTATTTTCACTAAATCTGTACTTAATGACAAGTGGATCCAACCTCAGGAATCATCCCCCAAAATGCACCATGCACCACCCTTAATCAAATTATACAGAAGTAGTCTCCTGGTGGACTATGCAGTAAAGGTCACCTTACACCTAGGCCCTACAGATTGCTAGGATTAATGAAATAATAAATAACTTACACATTTAGTTATAGCATATGCATAAACATGCATTGAACATCGAGAATAGAAAGATAACCACACTTCTCTTGTTGGATATTGTTCCAAAATTCTAGTCTCAGGCTTGCTAATACCAATTAATATGGACACCAGTGTTGTGGTAACAAGTCACTTGTTCAATTTTTCAAGTGTGATGTGTAGTTAAAGAAAGTCCATGAGAGAAACTTCATTTTTCATGAAAATGAAATTATGCATCCTCTTTCAATCTCTTTAGAAGAAAAAAAGAACAGAAACTTTCAGGTTGAGATTATTGGATAGAAAATTAAACAGGAATTAAACAGAAAAAAGTTAAAAACATTCTCTCACTATATTTATTAAAATACAAAAAACAGGCATGTTAGATTACCTAATTTCTGCACAGTCACCGTATTGCAGAATTTCACAATTTAAATGCTAAAAAACACTTATGGATTCTAGTCTATGTTTGACAATGATGGTATTGTGAGTTGTTCTTTTTGGAGCCCAAGTCTAGAATCAAAGAACAAAATAAATTTCTCATTTAGAGTACAATGAGAAGTGGGGCTTTTTGTTACAAGCATTAACATTTTGCTTCTGTTGTCTGGAGGTAAATTGGACCACAGTTTCTTCAAAAACTCAAGTACTTCACTCTTTAGATCCGTTACAACATTTTTCCCAAACCCTTATCTTCTGCCAAGCACCATGTTCAAACACTTTACAAAAATAGAGCTCTTTTCTTGCAACTGCCATCAAACACTAGTTCCTGAGATCTTTTCACTAAAGAAAAAACTGCAATATTCCTTGCTTTTCATTCGTTGAAAAATAGTGTTTCTTTATTTTTCACTTCATTATGAAGTTCATAGTAAAGTCTACTTATCTGCACCCACAAGACTAAAAATTCACTGCAGTTTGACTTCTTGTATCTGGCAGTGGATTTGGCAGGAAACAAGCATAGCGCAAGGCACAATTGTACTCCTGCACTCTTATGCCTTAGTCCACAAGTGCTACTACCCTTGATATGTAATTCACCCGAGTAGTACAGTCACTGAGTGCATACTTGTTCCTCCTCCTCTTTCTGTCTTCAATGAGGTCACGCTCCTGTGCAATCTATTTCTATAATGTCTTTCGGTACATCCACAAACTGATACACGAGCCTTTGACCATCAACTTTGGCCAGGATGCCTCGCTGGTAGTAATACCTGGAAAAAAATAGTGATACCATTAATTAAATGAACATACTTCACTAAGAAATTGAGATTTCATTTGTGTTAAAAATTAATTTATTCCTAACTTGTAGAAAAATATTCAGAAAACAAATAAAACTAAAATAACTTTTTTCGTTTTTAATATATTATTCCTTTGTTTTAAATATGTGTTCCAATACGTACCTTAGGGCACGGCCCATTGTTTCGTAGTTCATATCAGGTTTGTTTTTGTGGAGACCCCAGAGACGGGATACAGCCTTTGAATCCACTAGCTTGAAGACACCCTTCTCCCGGTTGGTCCATTTGATGTAACGTGGGCAGTAGTCGCGATCCTGCAGGAGCTTCAGTAGGAACTCCCAGAGGTATGTGGTAGAACCTAAAAACATATTTTAAAAAAAAGTTAGACATTTCTAAAAATGTCTGCCCATTTCGAATGATTACCGGGCAAGTTTAAAATAAATAGTAACATTTTTCTTAACATTAGGCGAACCAGACTAGTACATAATAGATATTATTTAAACACGTTCCCGAATTTCAGAGTAAATGTCAACGTTTCTTTGTCGTTAAGCCGCGAAAAGGGATGTCTGGGTAATGACATATCTGGGCCCCCCTTTCCATTCAACTTCTTTAATTATGTAAGATTCCGTATTATATTAGAAAATAAATAAAACAGCTTAAAAGGAGAATGAAATTATAACTTGAATTACACAATTAATAAATTCAACTATGAACATATTTAAGGAAATAAAATGTTTCATTTCTAAAGGCGACGGCGCCACTGTGTCTCCGAATGACCAGCTTTTTTCTGTCGATCCCGATGACTTCAACTAACAGCGCCTCTCCTGTGCCCGTGTCGTGGGTGAGAGGAGGGGAGGGGAGATGGCGGAGACGTGTCTCACCTTCGCGGCTCTTGCGCTTGACGCTGGCGCCGGGCTCGCCGCCCTTGCCGCTGGGCTTCTTCATCTTCTTCTTGGCGCGCGGCTGGAAGCCCAGGTCGAGCATGTACAGGTCCTCGCCCATGCTGGAGGTGGCCGCCTGGATGACGCTGGTGGGGATGGCCGGCCGCGGCGGAGAGGGCGCGGGCGGCGCCGCGAACTGCGCGGGCGAGCCCGCGGCCGCGGCGGCGGCAGGGCGCGGCGGCCGCGGCGGCCGGCGGCCTGGGGTGCGGCGACGCCTGGTGCGGCGACGGGTGGAAGCCGGCGGCGGCGGCCGCGGCGGCGGCAGGGGCCGCCGCGTGGTGCGGGCCGCGAGATTCGTCATGTAGTTGCCGCTCACGTACGCGTTCAGACCACTGCGAGGAAGGGAGACAAAAACACGTTTGGTCATACTGTCTGTACACACGTAAGTTTAATTTAAAAATCACCAAAGGATTAAAAAATAAAACATTATTTAAAATAGCAACAAATAAGATTTAAAAAAGTACAACTACAATAGATGGAAAATAACAATATAAAGGTCTACAACTACTAACAAATATCTCTGGATGAAACTGAAGGTGACTCGTGATAATCCATTTCCCCTCTGAAAATAAATCATTTCTTCCCACACATGCCAGAAAGAAACAATGTAATAAATTTATATTGAAATTAAATACCATTAATAATAATAATAATAATAATAATAAATAATAATAATAATGCATTATATTGAACATGTTATAATACACAGCAAAATTCTTGGCATGAGAAATTACCTAATCCGGAAAGTATTTAAGAACTTAATTTCCCCCATTTCTTTCGAGTTATATAAACTTCCTTAGTATTAGGAGTATATAGAAGATTTATTTCGTTTATCCACCCTGCGAAGATGATTATTAGTGTTTCAGAACATTTAACTAATTTTTATCATTCTCTGCCCTGTCATTTGACTTCAAACATTTCCTCCACTTAATTCCTGCAAACGGGCTTGATTTTTGTCCATTCCATTTCGTAGAAGTCGTTCTCAAGCCGAATCGCGTAAGTTCCGGAAATCCGGTATCTATCCCCCCTTTCCGCTCGAGCCGAAAGCCTCCTTCGCAATCGCCAGAGAGTCTCTCTATTTTTTCGCAGTTGAGCTTTGGCGCTGCCCCATAGTTTCTCTGCGGCAAACACTCCCTGACCATCTAAAGGGTGATAAAAGTCACCTTGAAACGCGGTCAGTCCCTTCCTGGCCTCGCTCCGCCAGTGCAGCTCCTCGCGATAGATTGCAGCATCAAGGTTCACCAACGACGAGCAATAGATGGCGGCACGAGTCCGCCTCGATCAGCGCTATCCTGCCACGATCCTCTCCCTCTCCTCTCTTCGGCGACTGTTTTCGAGTTAATAAAAAGGGAAGAGGAAAGCGTTTACGGTTCACTTCTGAGGTAATTAAAAAAAAACATTTACGGAATATATACAGCAGAGTTTCCTGAAAATATGGACACGACAAAAAAATGGAATTTATTATCTGCGAGATCAATGTATGGACGCAAGTGCAGTGACGTTTGAATTATCTCAATACTTTTATGAACCGAAAACCCACCAAAGAAAGTAAAATATCTGACCGGCACAATACGCAACCCTGTTACAAGTTATTAAACCGAGACAACGCTCATTTCATAACAGTTAATATAGTCGGAAGAACAACGCTCGGCCTGGACCGAAAATAGAACGCTCTCGGAAAGCGAGCTTCTTTACAACACGCAAACATCGGAAAAGAAGATGCCGGCGAAAGTGGAGGCGAAGCGAGCAAATTAGGTTTGCGGCGAGGAAGTGTTCGGGAGCGAGCTAGAGCTGGAGACCGCGAGCGACGGCAGGCAGCAGCCGCCGCCGCCATCACGCCATCTGCTTGCGATTGGCGAAGGTCACACTGGCCCCTTCGCCGTAAGCCCCGTCCCGCGCTCCGGCCGGCCGGCCCGCCCGCCCGCGGCCCGCCCGCCCGCGCGCCCGCCGCCCGTCACCGCCACCGCTCCTCCGTCCGTTTCTGGTCATTGGCATCCGCCGAGCCGCGGCCCGCGCCGCGGTGCGTCACCCGAGCAGGGGACAAAGAGGACGCGAGAGACGCTCAAGTAACAGCCGCAGCAGCTAATGACTTACAAGGAAACCCTCCCGCCTGATGCCACCTGCTCCGCCCGAGATGTACCCCTTCGCGGCTCTCCGCCTACACACGGATGCCCGACAAGTGGATTTTCACAATGCAGCACATCCAATCAACGAGTGGGTCATTCAGTTGCATCATCGCAGGATGGGACACGAAGAAAAACAGTTCTAAGGAGGGAGGCGTCAACTTAATTGACCAAAATCCGAAACGATATCAAATCAATTTATTGTGAAAAGTGTGCTTCACCACATGTAGCGTAACTTATTGTTTGTCACTTTTCCAATATTGCTAACAACAGGAAGAAAAATGGAAGAAGCAAAAATAAATTAGATGGAAGGAAAAAGGAACTAGAAAGAGCAAAGCATGCTATTTCCTACGACTGATAGCACTACTTCATTACTTTGTCATCGCTCTTCACACATACACGCAATACTTCTTTCGCGCGTGTATTATAATTATAATTATAATAAATAATTATTAATTATTATTATATTATTATTTATTATTATTATTATTGAATTATTCATTATTCATTATTATTTTATATAATTGTTGTAGTTGTTGTAAACACGTCGCTTTCGTGTGGGTTCGTCGCTCGCCGAGTCCTCGTCCTCGCGGACAGAAACCGACATGCATCGCGCTACCAGTTTCCGGCGCGAAAAGTAAAATGTAGGTCCGGCGCGGGGTGGTGGGTTGAGGGAGGGGGAGTAAGTTTTTTTTTTTTCCCGCGCGTCGGAGGAAGCCAGGTCGCTCGCGCCCGCGCGGCGAAAGGAAGCTGCGCGTGCGGCGCGGCGCCCCCCCCCACTTTCTCCGGACGACGCGACGCTGCTCGCGAACCGACTCCCGCGGGGACGCGCGACGACAAACGCCGCGGATCGAAGCGGAAAACTAGGGCGCGTGGTCACTCGCGCGAAGCGAACGAAACAGACTGGATTGGGGATCACTTGATGCTCCAACTTGATGCTTGTGGCGTTGGGCGAAGAGACGTGAAAACATAGGCGCGACTCTATGGGGTCATGAGTGGGCCAAAAGCTCAAGAATATCGGCATCTCGCTCCATTTTAAAAATGCCAAGGAGAGGGGGGGAGATATGCACATTTCGTTTATTTCAAGACACGCAAAAATGTTTCTTGGGAAGGTGAGTGAAACCATCAAGATGTCTAGCAATTCCAGTAAGAGATTCGACGTATTGAACAGATGTACAATTTATGTTACGGTCAATACGCACCAGCATTACATAATATTCTTACATCACTAAAAAATACTCTCCAGTTTACCAGTTTCAAAATCCATAGAAATAAAACTAGTTCATGTAAAGCTATGTAAATTTGTTACATTCGTATCGCACAACGTTTTGTCATATTTTCGTAAAATAGATCGACAAATATTCATGAAGTACATCGCCAGTTCACGTGGTTACGAACCGAAAGAACGCGTATTTAGATATATATTTTTTTTTCTCGTGAAAATGCGCGCAAGGCGAGAAAGACGACCGCCGGCGGCGGTCTGTGGAAAAGAAACGTCGAGGCGGCGGCGGCGGCGGCGGCGAGAGAGAAAACGACAGCGGTGGCGGCGGCGCGCGACTGGACATGTGGGTTAGCGTGCTACTTGCTTCACGGCACAAGCGGCGGCGGCGACGACCGGCCACTTGTCTCCGGACACGCCTCGCGGGCATCGAAAGTCGCCGCGGGATCAACATGCGACGCCGCCGCCGCCAAGAATACGACCGCGTGCTTCTGGACCGACGCAGAACGAAACTTTGCGAATAAAATACCCACAGGGAATGAGGAAAAATAACGGAATTTTTGTAACTTGGGTCTAGAAATGCGTGGATGCAAAAGTTTCCTAGCGTGTTTTTACTTGGGGTTACCTATTGGGATTGTGTGGTAGCACGGTCATGTTATAGTCTGTACGCAAGGAATGGCTGCAAATATAGCGCGAGCAATCGGTATTACCCCTATCTTCATCACATGATGTGGCGAATGAACATAAGATTCCATTCCTTAATGAAGTGCTTCAGTACGATTAGAGGATGAATGGAGAACCATAAACATGCAACTGTAATCATTTCACAACCTTTCATTTCTAAGAAGGGCTCTTGCCAGGTACCTTAGGCGGCCCATTACCCATTTTTTTTAAAAAAATACATTTAATTACGTTGGAATTTGCTATTCGGGGCGCCCCCCTCCCCCTCACTAGCGCCAAGACGCTCTCCCGAAGACGCCGCCGCCGCCGCCGCGGGGCGGGTGGCTTTCTTGCGCTGCGGGGGCAGCAGACTTTCCTTGGTTCCGGCGCCCGCG